AGGACACAGTGTGGCAGCCCGGCTTAGTGGAAAGCTGGCCAGGTTTGCTTGGCAGTTGATGGCTTGGCCAGAGAGTGCTTTGCGCAGTTAGATGTGCAGCTTCCCCCTTTGATTGCGAGCCCTGAGCTTGAGTCGGCAATCGCAAAATTGCAAGTTTACTGGGTTGACACGTGCCTCCGCCAAGTGCAGGGCCAGCTGCAAGGGCTCCTGAGTGCTTGGGTCCAACGGACTGTCAAGATCTTCTGCCGGCTCTCCCTGAGATCGCCTGTGCTCTTGGCGCAGGATCTGTGTTCGAGCAGAACGCCAAGCTGCTCGAGCGCGAGAGAGCATCAGCGGATTTCCCCTGGTCTCGGCACATTGTTCACATAACACATCTTTCAGCTCAGTCTCATAATTGGCTATGGTCACAAGGTTGACAAAGTCTTCCATACTCTCCAGCTTCACCGTGTCTGTGCAGTACTCGACAAACTTGTCTGGGAGTCGTGCATCAAGCAGGCATCGCCGAAGTGCCTCTCGGGCCGCTGCCATGGTTGCTCAGGAACCCTAAGCCTCCCTACCTTGACATCGAACTACAGGCTGCGAAATGAAGGCTGCGCAATCCGAAGTTTGGGCACCTTGCTTCACACAACCGAGGAGGGCAAGAGTAGGCGCAAGAAAGTAGGGGGACAACATCGACCCAGGACTTGACAACTGTTTGAAGCAATAGGAAGAAAGGATGGCAACGGCAAGCAGGCCCAGCACCGCACAATGCGTGAGCAGAAAGCCCTTGCACAGCGTGCCAGAACTTTTCCCTTTCTTTCACGCGGGAGTCCTGCTGTAACTTGCTGTCAGGAATTACCAAAAAAAGCACTTCATAACTCCTGCAAAGCCTCTTGCACAGTCGCCGGCGCTCTCGCCAACACACGTCCCCTGCAGAACCACCTAACCCCCGTTCGTAATGACGAGAGTCAAAGGAGAAGTGCCGACAGTAAGGCGCTAGGTGACTTGCAGATGTCCTCTGGCAAATGTGCTTGGCGGACTTGGGGCCCTGTGTGAACCACAGGATTGACACCGGCTCACAGGACTGGCTAGAGGATGAGGAACGACTACTTTCTTCCGAGCTTTCTGTGGAGCGCGCAGGCGCAGAAGCAGCGCCGTCTGCCGGCAAAGCACTCCAGGCCAGCGTGCGACGCAAGTGGTAAACCCGGTCCATTGACACTGGGTTGTCACGCACATCATTCCATGACAGGTCCTCTGTTTTGCAACTCTTTGCAACGTCTGCAAGCACAACTAAGATTCTTTGCTTTACAGCGCCAGCCGACAAGGATTTATCGCGCGCGTATCGGAGAGCCATCTTGTGCTGGGCCTGCCCGCCAGCGTTCAAGGAAGCAGGGCGTTCAACCCAGTCCCCCACAGCATCGCGGTCACCCTCGGGCAACGCCATGGCGTCGGCCAGTGTAGGAAGGAACCTGCGGCAACTGTAGGAAGTGAATTTCACTGCGGAATCATGATCTGCCCCCAGAGCAGCCAGCACCGACCTGCCAACATCAATGAACTGCGACAATGGCATTGGGACGAGCCGACGCTTGGCGCTTGGCTGGAGAGGCTCCCCTTTCCTTAAATGCAACGCTGGGATAAGCAAACCTGGCTCCCTTCCAAGTTGCTGAGAGAGCTCTTCATGATCAACAAACATCAAGGATGAAACATCAATGCCTGGCGCCACAATTCTCGGGAATGCCCAGTCAAAGGGCGGGCGCGTCGCCTGCGCTCGACGTTTACCCATGGTGCAAGTGCCTTGAATATACTGGTCTTTGATGCACAGATTTCTGGATCTTTGCACATGCGAGAACCTGAGGCACGCGACGGCAACCATCAACATCCACACGATGAAAGCTTTGACACTGCCCTGAGCTGATGTGAAGCTGTTGCACAGCGCGAAGAAGAGCTTGATCGGCATAGGCTCCCTAGGCTGGACAACATGGCCTTGAGTGGGCGCAGCCCAATGGGCCACCAAAGCATCATTAGTTGGCAACGGCAAGCCAACTTTCTCTCTCCACCACTTCAAGGACACGAAGAGGGCAACTGCAGCAGTGGGGCCTCCTGCGCTTGCCTCCTGCAAGAATGAAGACAGGTGAAGGGCTGTGGACATCCCGCGGCACGTGTGTGTGGCGCCACTGCACCCGCGCTTGAACACCCGCCTATGAGCCTGCAAGCGATCTTCAGTCACTGCTTGAAAGCTTCTATCAAAAAGCGGTCGGCACTGATCCGGCGCCATTACCAAGTCTTGCCCAAAAGCAAGATTCTGGGAACCTGTTGCCACGGCAATTTGAAACATGGCATCCAAGCACAACTGTCTCAGGCCACTCTGCACATACTGCGTCCGATGTTGTCTTGGCACAAGAATTGCTGGCGGTAAGAGCCGCTTCTCAGGCTGTGATTTTCTTGGGTTGGCCCAGACATTTTGAAGCCTGCAGTTCTCCCTTGCAACTGCCACCTTCCACGCTGAAGTCAGCTTTGTTATGATGTTATCATCCGACGACAATTCAAGCACTTCTTCTGCAGAACGAAAATAATTTGCAAAATCCGAAGTGGTCTCAATCCCAGTGCAGCTAAAACAGCAAGATCCATGAACCATAGCTGGGCAAGCACATGGGACGGGCTTCAAAGAGAGAATGTGGGCAGCTCGAGCAATGTGGCTTGAGCCAAAATGGCTACGGACTACTTAAAAGTCGGATTCGGAAACTAACATTCGGAAACTAAAAAGACGGATTCGGAAACTAAAGCGCCGGATTCGGAAACTGGGATTCGGAAGCTCATATCCGGAAACAGATGGCAGTCTGGATCTGCCAGTCCCGACTTTCCAGTCGAGACTTCGCTGAGTGGCACGTGGATAGTGGCACGTCTGAGTCTGGAGCTGCCAGCTCTGACTCTGGGCTGGCCAGTCCGAGCTGGAGCTGGCAGCTGCCAGGCTGGAGCAGCCAGTCCCGACTTTCCAGTCTGGAGCTGGCAGCTGCCAAACTGGACCTGGCAGCCAGTGTGACCTTTCCAGACTGACAGCGGAGTCGGAAACTAGAACGGCGGATTCGGAAACTACTTAAAAGTCGGATTCGGAAACTAACATTCGGAAACTAAAAAGACGGATTCGGAAACTAAAGCGCCGGATTCGGAAACTGGGATTCGGAAGCTAATATCCGGAAACAGATGGCAGTCTGGATCTGCCAGTCCCGACTTTCCAGTCGAGACTTCGCTGAGTCTGGAGCTGCCAGCTCTGACTTTGAGCTGGCCAGTCCGAGCTGGAGCTGGCAGCTGCCAGGCTGGAGCAGCCAGTCCCGACTTTCCAGTCTGGAGCTGGCAGCTGCCAGACTGGACCTGGCAACTGGCAGTCTGGAGTTGCCAGTGTGACCTTTCCAGACTGACAGCTGCAAGCCTCAGCCGTAAACGCCGGAGTCGGAAACTAGAACGACGGATTCGGAAAAACTACTTAAAAGTCGGATTCGGAAACTAACATTCGGAAACTAAAAGACGGATTCGGAAACTAAAGCGCCGGATTCGGAAACTGGGATTCGGAAGCTAACATCCGGGTCTGGATCTGCCAGTCCCGACTTTCCAGTCGAGACTTCGCTGAGTGGCACGTGGATACTGGCAGTGGCACGTGGATCTGAGTCTGGAGCTGCCAGCTCTGACTCTGAGCTGGCCAGTCCGAGCTGGAGCTGGCAGCTGCCAGGCTGGAGCAGCCAGTCCCGACTTTCCAGTCTGGAGCTGGCAGCTGCCAGACTGGACCTGGCAACTGGCAGTCTGGAGTTGCCAGTGTGACCTTTCCAGACTGACAGCTGCAAGCCTCAGCCGTAAACGCCGGAGTCGGAAACTGCAGCGTCATATTCGGAAACTAGGGCGTCGACCTCGGAAACTAGGAAACCGGAAAGCTTCGGATTCCAAAAATAGGAACGGGAAACTGGAGTGGCGGACTGGGACACAACTTGGAAATGGGAACTCTCGCAGGCAACTTCCACAAAGGCCAAAATCTCTCCCCATCAATGGGGCCCCCAAGTCGGCTCCAAAAACCTTTCAGCATGCAACGCAGGTCCCGTGCATGATAAGGCACCAACTCAATTCCAAACTTGAGCGAGTGCGTTTACCATTTGCCAGGCATGTGTGTGGATTGCTGAGCGTGTGTGCTTGAGCGGGGACGCTTACCATATGCCAGGCATGTGTGCACTGCTGCGCTGGCGCACTTGAGCAGGTCTTTACCATGCGCCTACCATGTGCTCAGTGCTGCGCAGGGCTGAGCGGGTGCCCTTGAGCGGGAATGCTGACCATGTGTGAGGCATGTGCGCAGTGTTGAGCGAGCGCGCTTGAGCTGGGGCGCTTGCCATGTGCCAGGCATATATGCCAAGCATGTGTGCCAGGCATGCGTGCGGTGCTGAGCGGGTGCGCTTGGGCGAGCGTGCTTACCTGAGCGACACACCAGCTTCTGAATTGGGCGCAAATAGTTTCTGAGTCATGTGAGAATAGTTTCTGAATCGGGCGAAATAGTTTCTGTGGGGAGAGAATAGTTTCTGAATGGGCGGAATAGTTTCTGAATCGGGCGAAATAGTTTCTGTGGGGAGAGAATAGTTTCTGAACGGGCGGAATAGTTTCTGAATCGGGCGAAATAGTTTCTGTGGGGAGAGAATAGTTTCTGAACGGGCGGAATAGTTTCTCAATCGGGCGAACTAGTTTCTGTGGGGAGAGAATAGTTTCTGAATGGGCGGAATAGCTTCTGAATCGGGCGAAATAGTTTCTGAATCGGGCAAAAAAGTTTCTGAATCGGGCTAAGGAGTAGTTTCTGAATCGGGCTAAGGAGTAGTTTCTGAATCGGGCTAAGTAGTTTCTGAGTCGCAGTTTCTGAATCGCAGGTAGTTTCTGAATCGGTCGACGCCCCGCATGCAGGTGCCCCGCATGTGCCCCGCATGTGCCCCGCATGTGCTCCGATGTGACGCTTGCACTCTGTTGCATTCTGTTGCCTTTTCTGTTTCATTTGTTTACTCGGCTCGGCACTCATTGTCGTAGCCCTCGATGCTGCTGTAGCGGAAGATGTCGCCAGATGATGACACGGCAAAGAGGTCCCCCGACCTAGCACCGGCTTCTGGGACAAAACAGACCTGTTCTTGTTCAACGGGAAACCCATCATTTTCACGGGGGTTTCTCTATCTTGACGCGTGTGAGCAGAGTGCAGTCAAGTGCGCTCCAGGCACGGCCCAAAGGTCGGAGATGTCACGGGGTACTCGTTGCCAATCACCTGGGCCCAGTCCGGTCCGTCGAACCGCAGATCCGGCCGATCCGGCCTGAAGCTCCGACATTGGGCCTTGGCCAGGCCTTCGCCTCGACGCCTCTTGAGCCTAGCCTTCGGATATCACTCATGACTCATACGAGTATCTCATATCAACTCGTGTCATCTCATATCATCTCAGATCATTGCATATCATCTCATATCCACATACCATGTTGCTTACACACACTGAGCTAACCAATACTGAGGTAAGGTCACTCTTGATTTTCTGCAATGGTAGGTAATCTTTGGCCATGTCGGCACACGAGTGACACCGCTGCGGATAGTCTTGGCACTGTCTGTGACCTCACACCTTAGACACTTCACTCCTCCCTCTTGCCTCACTTCTCTGGCGTCATCTGGTCTTCAAGAAGCCGAAGATCGAGTACCTGGAAGCGCCAAGTCGGCGTCAAGTCCTCCAAGTCAAGTCCAGAAAGCTCACTTCTTCCTCATTCCCATCCACCAGAAAGGCATCAAGATGAAGACCTGAGCGCTGCGGCCGCTGCGGTGCCAATTTCTTGCAAACAGGCCGACAGGCCGGCTCTTGGGGCCTTGCAACAATCAGGATGGCGCCAATGATCCATGGCCTGAGAGACTGAGACAAACAACAATTGCTCCGCATCCGAAAGAGCTTCCGGCACGGTTTGTATCTCCGGCACATCTGCGGCCCCCATTGGGATACCGTGCAAAATCTGGATCCCTGCGGTTTTCAGTGCTCGAAATAGTGGCTTGCGTGTTCAAATCGTTTGATCGTGCGGTGGCGGTTTGTCGTTTGTTCATTTGTTCCCCACATGTCGCTGTGTAAGCCTGAGCGCGCGCGGAACGCATGTCACGGCATGCCCAGCTCTCAGGCAACTTTCAAGCTAGCGTTACATGTTCTTTGACGACCCGCGAGCTTCGAGGCGAGTCCGTGCAGGGCTTCAGGGCTCGCTCACCGCATCCGGGATCCCACAGAAGCCTTGCTTTGAAGCTTGTCTAGCCCTCCCTGCGCCTGAGCCCTGCGCTTGAGCCCTGCCTGCGACAGGGATGTGCGCCGGCTGCTTGTCTGTCCCTTCCGGGATGCGCTGGGCCTTCGGAGTTGCAAGAGTGTACGAGCGGCATACGAGCGTTTCAGACACTTTGACATGGAAACTTTGTTTCACTCATCTCGGCAAAGTGCAGTTGAGCGGTGCGCCCTCGCACACTGGCACCTCGAGCGTCTGATGGTGTCCCAGGCCTCAAGCAGAAGCCGAGCACTGGCAGGGCACATGGATGCACATGGGGTCGAGTGCGCAGCTTGCCCCGCGAGCTTTGTGCCTTGCGCAGAAGGGTCTTCGCCGATGTTCAGAAAGCAAAGCTCGGAGATTTCATGGGCGCACGTCGGCTCCGTCGGCTACAATAATTCAGCAAATCAAACTATGCACATGGAGTCTATGTACATGTCAGCATGGCCACGCTTCGGCAACGCTGACTCTCAAAACTCTGACTCGGTCACTCGCTCGCTCACTCGCTCACTCGCTCACCACTCGCTCTCCGCCAGCAGCGAGCTGCGAAACGCCCCCAGGTACTTTGGCAGCCCATCGCCTCGCGTGGCCCGCTCCCCGCTCCCCGACTCGCCCGTCCCCCGACACTGATCGATTCAGAACTTCACCCGTCGGCGTGAGTGCTGTGGGCCCTGCGGACGTCCATCACGCGATCCCCGTAGTGGAGGTGGTGCATAGGTCTGGGAAGAAAATGAAAAGGTCGGATTGCCCCGTGATACACACGATTGGTTCGCCTCCAGTCCTCCAGGCTGAGCGGAACAGCCGCCATCTTGCCTTTGAGCTTTGCCATTCGTGCTTCGGACATTGAGCTTTGTGCTGGACCTCCCAGCAACAGCCCTCGCACAGGAGCCATGCAGGATGTGCATCTGCTCCGCTCCACCCCTGGCAGACCGGGCACTATGCCACGCCATGCCACATCATGCCTCGCCTTTGGAGGTCCGCAGTGAGGAAAGGCTGGCACCGGGCTGCAGTGTCAATTCAACCTCGACACTAGCGAAGCACGATGTTGCCATGTGTTGTAATATACCCATGTTCCAATTCCACAGAGTCTCTGCTCTGCTCTAGTGGCCCCGGCCTGCTCTGCGGGGAAGATGGCCTGGCTGGAGAACGGCGCCCCTGACAGCCGCCGGCAAATGGAGCAGTGGCAGTAGCCTGGGCTGTTTGGGGAGAAAAATCCCAAGAAAAACCCAAGAAACGGGGTCTTGCAGCCACTTTCTCCAAGCCACTCACAGCCTTTGGCTCGCCAGTGCAGTGCACCTGGACTTCGCCACCTCGTGGCGAAAGGCGAAAGGCAAAACGCTCGAAGCTCGAGCTGAGGTTGACTTAAGCCATGGCACAGAAGCAGGCGCCGCGATGTCCGCTAACGGGGCTGCTCTTGACCTCCTCCAAAGCCGAGGAAGCCGAAGACGACGGAGCCCTGTGCTGTTGGCGTGTGTTTCCCTTTTCTTTCTCTTTTAAAACTGTCTTCTTTTTCGCCAGTCCGATGGTCCTGTGAGGCGCCAGGTCCCGCACTGCCTGCAGCACCCTCTCGGCATTGGCTGCGGCATCCTCCGTGGGACCTGCACACTTGGGATTGAGCCACTTGCAGAAGCATCAACACAAACGCACACACAAATTCACGAAAGGGCCGGTAGACTGAAGCTCTGAGGCATTAGCATTCCACATTGATGCGTGCACTGAGGCTTTCATCTGCCCATCGCTCATAAAGCTTGTCATAATACTCCAACATCATGGATGCCACCTTGTCAGAGACCAGGAAAAGCGCAAGGGAAACGCAAAACACGCCATGAAACAGGACTCTGTCAGGAAAATCGAAAACGACGCATAGACCCGCCTCGCTCCACCGGTCCTCGTCCAACATCTTCAAGGCCTCCTTTACGCGCTGCCCCCCCAGGCGCTTGGCCAGGCCACTGGAGATGCCTTGGATGCCAAGGGAAATACGTGACGTATCAGAAAGAAAGAGCCTGGGCTCAGAAGAACAAAAGACTTTCTTGCTCTCTCGTTCGCTCTCCGTCGACTGTGCTCCAAGGAGCACTCCTTGAGTTGCTCTCTGCAGTCCTGGCCGCAGTAGTCCTCCACCAGCCGCGACACGCGGAGCTCCTTGCGCATGGAGACCACGACCATGGCACCTGAAGTGTCTTTGAGCGGTTACGATTTCAGGGTTCATAGCCTTGACTTCGACGCTCATGCCCACCCCAATCAGTCGGCAAGATTACCGCAGCTCCCGATGTGGATATGTCTCAAACCAGGTGAAACCCAACAGGACTGGCACCATGTGCCTCAAATGCTCGAAAGAGAAGAGCCCAGGGCCCATAAGTGGGCGGGCGCCTCTGTCAAGCCTTTGTGGCCATGCCTTTGGCCCGATGGCTTCACTTGAACACTTCACGGGCCTTTCGGCGCGCAGGACACCCAGGACTGGATGCCAAAGGGCACCAGCACCTGTCCAGAAAGTCGTGTCCGTCCCCATCTTCCGTCTTCCACGTCCCCGTGAGCTTTGAGTCACGTCGGTCCCAATCCCTGCCTTGCCCACGTGTCGAGATTCGTGCTCGATCCAAAGAGGCTTCTCCGAGCTCACGCGCCGCACCTGGAAGGCCAAATGGTTCTCGTAGGCCTCGTTGCTGGGCTGAGGAGCTTGGCCAACAGCACCTGTGCGGTGCTGTGCGTCGCATCTACACTCCAACTTTAGAAGTTGCGCTCTCGCTCTCTCTCGCTCTCTCGCTCTCTCGCTCTCTCTCTCTCTCTCTCTCTCTCTCTCTCTCTCCCGCCAAAGGCAGAGCCGCGGTGATTCGCCAAGCCCTGACATGGACTGTCTCAGTCTCTCACAAACGCCTTCCTAATTTCAAAACAAAAGCGGATGCTGCTGATTCTACTGCCAAGTTGCTCCGGGCCTCCAAATCAAGAACCTGCTCACCCCTTGCGCGAAGCTCATGCAAGATTGCGGTCTTGCCCACCTGTGCCGTGGCTGTTGCGGCGTGGCTTGCTATGGCTTGCTGTGGCTTGCTGTGGCTTCCTAGTTTGGAATTGAGTTTGCAGCGCCGGTGCAACCGCCCAGGACGATCACCTGTCTGCAACACACCTCTTGCACTGAACATGTCTACATCCCTTGGTCAGCTGCCGAGGCTGGAGGAGCCGCATTCTCGCCCACCATTGTTTTGCCTCAAACGCCGAGAAGGCTTTCCACGATCGTCAATTCTTGATTTGAGAAAGGAGGGCAAATTCAAGGTACTTCTAGCTACTTCTAGCTATGTCCAGCTATTCTGAAGCTCTTTCGGCAAGTCTAGGCCGGCCACACCAGCGCCTGAAGCTGCGATAGCCGCCGTGAAGCGTCTGCACCTGGCTCCCCTCGTCCCCCATCGATCATTCGAACAGAATCCGCTCCGCATACGTGAGAGGGTCGGGAAGTACTGAAGTTCGGCCATGAGCAGTTGGCAGTTGGCAGTCGCCTGGTACCCGCAGAGGGAGAAGAGCCAGCCCATGGAGCCCGAGCGCATCCCGCCGCGCCAGCCTGAGATAGAGCCGCCCCAAATTGCCGCATGGGAGAAATGCAAAATCCAAGGGGCAGTAGACCAGCAGTCGGCTGCCGGGTTTTGCGCCCTGCTCCTGAGTAGGTTTGAGCCGAGCCAGAAACCCCCCGAACTTCGGGAAGTGCCTGAAGCGCGTCAAGGAACTGGGCGAAATTTGGGCCGGCCAGCTGCAGACCCTTTCGGATGGCCTCTCACCATACGATTCTCAGCTCGAAGCGCTCGCCCTCGCGCCTCATAGCGACCTTTGCGCTTGAAGTCGGTGCCCACCACTGCGCGCGCCTCGTCATCGAAGAGCGGGAGGTTCACAGCACCTCACAAAAGCACCACACAGTTGCATGTTATTTGTTGTCTTTTTCAAGTTCTTTCTCGCCTTTCCTCGCACTTCTCGCCCCGTGCAATCCACTGGACATTTGACGGTCAACTCCGCAGACAACTTCCAGACGAGTCAACAAATGTCAACAGGTCCAACCGATCTTTCCATGCAATGCACTGGACATCCAGTGTCCGCTGGTCTCGCCTTTCTCCTGTCTCGCTCCTCTCTCCATTCGCACCTCTCTCTCTCTCTCTTCTCTCGCTCTTCCCTCCCTTCTCTTCTCTCTCGCTCCTCTCTCCCTTCTCGTGACTGCGCTTCCCGTGAGCTAGCCAAGCCGCCGGGAATGTGACCAACCTCAAACTCTGCAGGCGAACGCACGTCCACCGTCAGCCTCGCTTCGGGACACTCCCAAACCCGGCGAAATGGGCGAGCGGAGTGGCGAGAGTGGCGAGAGTGGCGAGAGTGGCGAGAGTGGCGAGCAAGGAAAGCTGAGCGGCAAAAGCTGAGCTTGACACGTGGTGTCCATCGTGGCAAGGAAAGCCTCGATGCTCAAAGGCACGCCTTGGCAGAGGCGCAGGCTTGCATCGGGCGTTGACATGGCGAGGGGCTGATGTGGTCGAAGCTCTGTCCAGTGCAGGGGACGGCAGAGCTGGAAACTCCATGGCAGTCGACGTAGCTTCCGGCTCAAAATCAAGTGCGCTGATGCCTCAAATCTCTTGGTCGGTGAGGGCTTGAAAAAAATACCGCGCGGCATGTGCCCCAAAATGCGCCCTAAACGCTTCGGTACACTGGCTTCGTGGTTTGAGTCCATAAGGCTCGCAGACCCAGTCAGCACATTGATATTGCAGAGGTTAACGAAGTAGAGACAAACAGTTAAAAAATCTTAATACAATACAAAGACATGGTCCCAATTTGTTGAATACAACTCTCATCTAAAAGCAAAGATGCCTTGGCCTGGCGGCCCTTGCCACCGAAGGTCTTTAGGCAAATGGCGATGTGCCGCTGTCCGGCCTCAAACATGAGCCGTCCAACGGATTTGGTGGAGCTGCCAGCCTCCTGGTTGAAGGTCCGGCCACAGTGGGGACCTCGAGAAAACGGGCGTTCCCGCTTTCGCCAGGGTTCGCCAGGGTTCGCCAGGGTTCGCCAGGGTTCGCCAGGGTTCGCCAGGGTTCGCCAGGGTTCGCCAGGGTTCGCCAGGGTTCGCCAGGGTTCGCCAGGGTTCGCCAGGGTTCGCCAGGGTTCGCCAGGGTTCGAGGCTCGGCAAGATACACATGCTGAGGCCCCCGCATTTCACCATGTCAGCCTCCAAGGCATTGCCTCCCGAGGCCAAGTTGGCCGCGTTCAGCTCCTTCTGCAGCTCAGCTGCCTTCGACAAAACGCCAACGTGAACCGTGAACCGTGAGCCGTCCCCTCGTGCCCTCTGGAACTCTGCTGCTCGTGCTCTCTCTCGGCCTTCTTGGCAGCTTCAGGGTCAGAGGTGCCCTCAGAGCATCCAGGATCCAGACGGAGTCACTTCATGTCTCTCCATGTCTCTCCCCTACGCCTTGGCAGCAAGGATCGCCTGGCGGAAAGCCAAAGACCTGGGCGTTTTTGCAGAAACACCCGACGGGCGGCGTTCACATTCGGCACATTCGACCAAGACACTGTGCTTTCCACTTTGGCACGGTTTTGTCCTGCAACTGCATAAAACAAAGTTGCCATTCTTTGGCGAGCAAAAGTGGCTCCTTCTGCTTCGCAGCTTTCTCTGGCTCCTTTTTCTCCACCCTGCCCAACAAATCAAGAGTGCAAAGTTTGCTAAGCTGTCGTCAACCGAGTCTACCTCAAACGGCTCTCGACAGGCGACCGGCTTTGTGGCGTTTGCGATGAGCTCGTTTGCATTGTCGAACTCCCCTAGGCGGTTGGCCGCACCTGGCTTCGTGCCGCATGCGAATGCTCAGGCTAAGGCTGCTGAAGTCGGCTCCACTGTTAAACTGCTTGCGCTTTTGCTGGAAGACCTGAAGGTTCAAGCCCAAAGAAAGTCTCCGCAGATCTTTCCCTGTCCTTCTTGCAGATCTTTTTATGCTTCTCCAGGCCTGGAGGCCCCGAAAGAGAATGCGGGGGCCGTGAAGGTGTGAAGGCCGAAGGATGCGGGAATGCGGGAAGGATGCGGGAAGGTGCAGGGAAGGCCGAAAGGAAGGTGTGGGAAGAGCTCAGCGCCCGGCTTTCTGCTTTGAAGCTGCGGCCACAGTCGGGGCACGGCACCAAAGGCCTGGGCCGGCACCGTGCACTTCGCACCGCACTGCGCGGGTTCCGAGTCCACCCGTCGTCCAGCAGGCCATCGATAGCGCCTCCTCTGAGCATAGCAAAAGCATGGCGAAGCACTTGGCATTTTCCCATTTCCCTTATTTTCCCATTTCCCGGTGCCTTGTGGGGATATCCTGGGATAGCCTTCTTCCAGGCGCTCCGGCTTGCCTCAGAATGACAACATCCGACAAGCTCCCTTGCTCAGCACAGGCCTTGGACTGCAGAGACTTGAGGTGACACTTGGCCTTGCACGGCGGAGGGAGGATCCTTAGAGCATCGCGAGCGTGGCGAGCGTGGTGAGCCCGAGCACGCGTGACGGGCGCTTCTCTTTTGCGCACTGCTGCATCGAACTCGCGTCCCGAATGTCCCAACATCTTCACCGCCGGGAGCCTCTTGAACGAGCAAAGGGCGAGATGAAGCCCTCGCGTGGCGAAGTTCAAGAGATGAGAAGAGCAGGATAGCGTATGCATGCATTTGCAGCTGGCCTTTTCCATTTCTGGCCGCTTGCCTTTGCCCTTGCCCTTCTCAGGCTTCTCCTGTTACACTTTCAGCACACGTGAGATGCCAGTTGATGCGCACTCTATGTGTGGCGAAATCGCTGGATTCAATCAATCAACTTGAGGCATGCCGACACAGAGTCCTCCGCAGGCACCTTCTCGCCCAGCCTAGCGCATGGAACATTGGATTGCTCTGAGCACTTCACGCTGAGCCACTTGCCATAGCATTCTGGCTCTGTCTTGGGCTTGCCGCTGCTTGTCCTTCTCATCCTGTCCCAAACTGCCCGGACTGCCCCCACGCCCACAGGCTGAGGGCTGGACCGCTGTCCATGTGTTCAGGAACGGCCCTGGCGCAGCCTCGCTGGAAAGCGGTGCGACATTCTCAGCCCGGAACCCTCTCGGGCAGCAGCCACCTTTGGGCGATCTCCGGGGTCTTCCCCTTAGGCGAGGTCTTCCCGGCTTGGCTGGCCTTTGGGGCCTTTGAGGCCTTTGGGGCCTTTGGGGCCTGGGCGTGCGCCGCTCGGCTCGCGCTCCGGGCCAAACGCCGCCCTCACGGCGCACCCCCCACTCACAGTCAGTCAGCGAAGTCGAGGGCCCCGCGGCTTCTGTGGTCCAAAGGCCTCAGCCGCTCGCCGTTTTAAGTTTTGGATGGAACTGCGAAGCTGAGGCCAAAGCCGGCGCCTCAGACTCGGAGCGCAAAGCCTGGGCCGCCAAGAAGCCATGCTGTACTTGGACACCTTGGACACTGGCGCTGCCTCGGGCGTGCTCGTTCCACAGCTAGACGACCTGTTCCGACGCACCCCAACATGTCACATCACATTGCCGCGAACTCTCTGCCATGCTCCGTGACGTGTGGCACAACCAAGGCGCGAGCGGCTTCCGCCTCTTCCCTGAGCTCTGAAACAGGGCATGAGCTGCATTCCGCATGAGCTGCATGCGCTGCATGAGCTGCATGAGCTCCATGCTGCATACCTGAAGGCCCTGGCTTCTGCCTCGGCTTTTGTCACGGCTGCGACTTCTGTCGCGGCTTCTACTGGCCTTTTTGGGCCTCGGAAAGCCAGCTTGGAGGCAAGAGTCTGGCAACGCAACACCAGCTCACGTTTTCATCGATTTCAAGGCTCTCGACTCTCATTCGACTTTTCTCAAAGAATGATGAAGTTGAGCTTGGTGATCACGGCCAAGCCCACCACAATCAAGGCGAAGTAGAGCAGCAGGATGGGCTCCCACACGTCCAGGGCCCGGCCAGAGCTCCAGGTCACTCGCTTGGCCAAGGCGTGCCGGGACCGGTTCCGGAGCTGCACGTACTCCACGTCGTCCCCGCCCCCTGGCCCGGACAGAGCCCGTTCGGCCCTGGTCCTCAGGATGGTCTGCTGCCAATGCATCTCGCTGTTGGCGAAATGGCCCTGCAGGCCAAGCACATGAAAACTGATGGCTCTTTCAAACATATCGCGCCTGCAACAGCATGTGCACTGCAGGGGACACCAGCACCAGGGCCACAGTCAGCGGCACCACTGGGTCAAGCCAGGGCATCTGGCTCAGGAGATTCCGGCCAAAGGGCAGGAAGGGCAGGGTGATCAAGCCCAGCGCCAGCACCAGCAAGGCCTAGGGTCCCTAAGTCGAATCAACTCACAGTTCTTCCCTTTTCGTTTTTCTCTTTCGTGAACTGAACTTTTCACTTCGCTTTTGACTTTTTTTTGGCTCTGGCCTCCGTCAAGGAGACGAGGAGCTGCGCCGGATGCTGCAGGATGCGCCACCGCGCCTCCGACAGCTCCAGGGCGAAGTCGCTGCAGCGCATCACCTCCTCCACGTAGGAAAACGCCAGCTGCAAAGGCACCTCTCTACGAACAAAAAAGACAAGGCAAAATACAACGAGCAAAAGGGAAAGACGCGATTCGTGGCAAGGACGCATCGAGATAGATCAGTGGATGAAAACACAACGCATCGAAACACATCGACGCTTCAACTCCCGCAACCCGAATCAGTTCACGCTTCGGGATCTCAGCCGTCTCAATTTCCAGAGAGCCCCACCCCATAGACCGTGCAACTGCGCACACACACACACACACACCCGCAGACCTCCCCAGCGAAGGCCCACGCTGGCTGGTGCTCCCTCAAGAAGCGCAGTGCTGCGTTCCGCTGCTTGAAGCTGAGGGTAGCGGCGTGCAGAAGACCGCAGAGCTCGTAGAGCCGCTCAAAGCACAGCCTCGCAAGAAAGCCAAGCATCACCAAAACAGTTACGCTCGAGCTAGAAGGTTGACATATGTTGGCTGCGGGAAATCAGCTTTTGTCAACAGCTCCAAGTCGCCCGATAAGACTGGCTTTGGACTGAGGAGCCACATTAAAAGCATCTCCGCAGACACTGCCAGAAAGCGCCCGCAGGAATCCGGCAAACCATAGGCCTGAACCAGGTCAATTGGCTCTGCACCCTCATAAAAGCGCTTGAAACCGCCTGCTGCTGTCCACCGCAGGTGCAGCAAGAACACCACTGCCAGAAAGCAGCTGCATATGCTGACCACTGAGATTTCGAGCAGCGAAGAATGCGGGATGTGCATGATTCCGGCGTTCAACAGCTGCTTGTGAAACCTGTCACTGATGTCAGAGTCGCTCTTCTCCGGCTTCTCGAGCTCGTTGCCGGAGCTGTGATCTGCCCCGGCTCCTCCGGGACCTCCGGGACCTCCGGGACCTCCGGGACCTCCGGGTCCGTCCCGGCGCCGGCGCCGGCGCTTGGCCTTGTTGGGCGCCGCCGTGCTGCGCGTGGTGCACTGCGCCCGGGCCCAGCGCGGCCCGTGCTGCACACCGAACACGGCCGCCACGGCGCCAGCCGCGTCGAGCCCGTCCAGCCCGTCTCCGTCCGGTCCGTCTCCGTCTGCTTCCTTTTCCTTTGCAGACACCACGCTGGAACTGGCCACCCGGCAGGCCGCCCACGCATAACTCAGGTACAGCAAGTCAAGCAAGAAAGCATCTGTGTAGCGTCCCGCGTAGCACACCAGCCAGGCGTGCAAGCCAACGAAAGACAAAGCCCTCACCACCACCTCAATCGAGGCCACGTTCTTGGCTCTCATGGCGCAAACATCGCGCACCTTTAGCCGGCAGTCCTCATCATCGTCTGTTAGATACTCCTCATCGAAGGCATCCTCCGAAAGCCACAAGCGAAGTCTCACAAGGTGAGCCACAATCAAAACCCGGGTAGATGAAGGTTAGTAAGGGACAATCTCAACCATAAATAGCTGCGGCCGTCTTCTTAATTCTTTACAGGGTTCTGGGCAGACTGTTTTAATGCCGGGCTTTGATTATGACTCAGATCAACCCTTCTCCTAACCAACCAAGGGGGCCTGTTCATACACCGGGGACACAATACAAGACAGCAATACCCTCTCCTTTTCAGGAGGAATGCGAACACAAAGCAGAAGCCAGGATGAAAAAACTCCAAAGAGAGCCTGGAAGAAGTTGCCGATGCCTTCTGATAGAGATGGGTTTTGTGCAAAGTGGCCAGAGCGATATACAGAGCGATATGGCAGCAGTTTTCTTTGCCGGCTGGGATCGAAGTCTGCATCTGCCAACCGCTCTGGGCTGAAGGCACCCGGCAGCATGTCTGCAATCGACACTGGTGCTTCAAGCCATCCAAAAGCTCGGAGCCGGAAGGAGATGTAGACAATGAGGCCAAACACAAACAAGATCAAGGAAAGCAAGATGGACGTAAGAGCATAGTTCCGTGCAAAAGAATCTATGCCCTGCGAGGCCAATACCATCTCAATTTGTCGCTGGCTGGAGTTCCCATTGCGCGCATTGGCGCACATGAGCTTAATTTCGTAGAAGGTGAACCAGCTGTCCTCAGTCTTTTGGCCATAGGCTTGACACCTCCTCCACCATCACTGCTGGAATGTTGATAGTATGTCAAGGTTAGGGAAAGGGTTAGGGAAAGGGAGACCAACATGAAGCCAGCCAATTGAAACTTGGAGGGGTGGAATCTCAATGTTAACACATGTCCATCATACCAAGGCAAGAAATGGGTATGGCTGACCAATCGGCAAGTCCACTACACAACATACTCATCCGGTTCGATACATTCGACATCACAAAGCTCGACATATTCAAACTTCGCAAAGGGCATGCCTCAACTCTTACCAATTCATCCAGCTGTCTGGCATGTCCCCAAGGATGTCAAGATCCGTGGGCTTCATCGCCGCCACCAATCTTCGGGATGCCTGAGCCCCAAGGATTCGAAAGGTGCTTTGAGATCGCTTCGTTTCTTTTTGTTTGCTTTCTTCTTCTTTTGCCTTCTATGCGGGTCTTGTTTTTCCTTGGCTTTTTTTTTCTCTTGTTTTTTTGCGCTTTGGCTTCTTTGGCTTCTTTGGCTTCTTTGGCCTCCAGGCCGTCGGAGGCGTTCTCGAGGTTCCAAACGTCCCAAAGGTGCGGCACGCGCTGCGCGAGGCGCCGGAGCCGCAGCTTCAGCGCCAGCAGCTCCGGCAGCAGCGCCTCCACCCGCGACGTCTCGCCCCGCCACACCGCCCACTCCAGCGCCGTCTTGTACCTCGAGAATCTGAAAGATCTGAAACAAATCAACTATTCCTCCTTCTCAGAAAAAAAGAAGAAGAGAAAATTCATGTCGACTCATGTCACAACTCCTCTCTTCGGATCAAGTTGGACACTGATGTGCCTCAGGACCGCAAAAGGCACTGCAACCTCTGTGAGTGCCGCAGCCCTGACCGCTGGAAGGGCCAGCATGCGAAAGTGTCGGGGACGTGAAGGCTTAAGCTTGGAACTAGGCACAAGAGCGGAAAGGCAGAACTGAGAACAGGCCTAGCCAAGCAGCTCGGAAGTGGACGTGTTAGAAATAGGCGGAGGCTCTGCATCTGGCTCCTCTGCCTGCGTCGCTCGCATCTCACCCCTCTGAACCTTGCCATTCCGTGCGTGACTTGTCGCATGGCTCTTAGCTACTCCTCTTAGCCCTTGCACGGCCTCAGAGTCGATCGCAGGGCGGAATGACTCTGTAACATGGAGGAAGAGTGCGACTGCAGTCAATCTCCATGGCATGTGTAGACTGTTCACACCAGGATTCTATCCTGATGTGCATGAAATGGAAAGACACAGAGCCAAATGGCTAGGACACCTGGACACGTAGGCAGTTGAAAGCTTGCGTACAAGCTGGTGACAGCAGCGTATCACTATCTGCACTGCACAGTTTGGCTGCCGGCTTCAGCTTCTTGCCCTGGCACCAGCCATGCCGACTTAGCTAGCGGCGAAACTCGGCTAAATGCCATCTGCCAAATGCCAAATTAGCAGCTGGCCTTCTCCCGAGACTTCTCGACCTTTCCTCGGGCCTGCTTCTCCCTTCTCTCCTTTGGCTTTTCCTTCACTTCCTTCACTTCCTTCACTTCCTTCACTTTTCCCTTGTCCCGCGCTGGCGCCTCAGCCTCGGCGCACGCTCGCTGAGAGCGCTCACTCTCGCGGATCGGCGAGCCTTGGCTTGCCGACCTTGGACTCTCGAACCGCTCGAACCGCTCGAACCGCCCGAACCGCCCGAACCGCTCGGACTCGAGAATCCGAAGACACGACTCGAACCGGGCGCCGTGCGCAAGAGCTCTTCGTCGTCCAGGAGCTCCCAGTCTTCCGCCTGGGCTCCCGACGCTCGGCCGGGGCTGCGCACCGGAGAGCAACCGTCCTCGCCGACTTTCACATCCTCCTTCTTGGGCTTCTCTTTGAACAGCCTTAGCGTGCCCATTCGCAACCAAATCTGCAAGGTTGCTTTGAGCCAACTGCCCCTTCTTCACCTCAGAATGAGAATTGTGCGCATGGCGCGCCAAACAAAAAGATCTGCCTTCGGAGGAGACCTTGGTGCACTTAGCTCACGCGGTCATCAAATGCACGCAGCACGCCAAGCTTCGGGCGAATCACGTCCCATGAGAGACGCGTCCCGATTCAAACGCTTGGCTGAGAGCTGTGAGTTGTAAGTCTCTAAGTTGTGCTAATTGGTGAGCCATGTGAGCCATTCAATTTAAAACAAGACTGAAGCCAAAGAAAAGGCCAGGTGCAGTGGGCGTGGACATGAAAGGCACTGCAGCTCCCAGCCCACGTCACACCGCGGAGGGACTCAGAGGCCATGGCTCATATTCCGTGTATTCCGTGTGTTCCCACTCAGTTTCAGCGCTCACAGCGAATTACGCATCTTAGGCTTCCACGGAAGCTGCGCGCCTAAGCACCCGGCGAGCCAAGTCAGCGAATGTCGGCGCGTGTCTTGGCCCGCGACGGCGGCCGCTCAGACGCCTGGCATGAAACGCATGGAAGTGCGTATCGAAACTGCTCAGGGCCATGTCTCCTCTTTACAGTTCCTCTTGTTCTCGCACTTTCTCTCCTTTTCTCGCTTGCCCACCTTGAATCTGCTTTCCTCTGTCCTGGGCTCCTGTCTGCGCTGCCGCATCTTGGACTTGAGAAGCACCTGCACTGGGAGCTGCCGCTTCCAAGCTTTTCCCTTCAGGTTGGTGGGTGGTGGTGGGTGGCGGTCGTAGCGGAAGGGGTGTGGAGGTTGTAGAGGTAGTGGTACTAGTGGTAGTCAGTGGAAACCTTCTTAGAAGCGTCCGGCACCGCGTGCCCATTGCACTCAGGGCACCAGATGCGACTGCGCTGTCTGCACATCTTCTCGCGAGGGAGGCCTGCAGGCCGCAAGCACGCAATGCGAGAGGCTCACAGAAGCCCGCCTCATCAGCTGCGGGCCTTGCCCAAAAGTCACGCCGTGTGTCAGGTCCAATGTGGTCCAATGTGGTCCAATGTCAATGTCCAAAGCAGAAATTGACATGACGCGAGGACCCGAGGACCCCGACCTCACTTCAGGGTCCTCGATTGCAGCCCGCTTGACTGCACTCTACTGCACGACCCGGTCCTGGCACTGCATGCCTGGACACAGGCTCGACACATGCTCGTGCTGAGCTACTTTTGCTACTTAAGCCTGAGCTGAAACAGCAGGCCAGGCGGCAAGGCGTACCAAACGAGGATGTGAAGGCATCGCTGCAACAGTCGTGGAGGCTGGCTTTCACGACGGGTGCCGTCATGACGGGTGCCGACTGTATCACCTAAATTTGGCATAAATAATTCGGCCTCTGCGAATTTCAGAGGCCGGGATGAAACACAGTGTATTCAATGGCAGCTGAGCGCTCCAACACGTGGAACAAGCCTAGCGCGCAGCTGCCTCCAGGTGAAATGGGGAGCTCCTCAGAGGTGACACGGAAAGCCGCCGGTTTCACCGCGCAAGGATAGATGCTTGCCCTGTTGGAGGTTTGCACAACACCTGCAGACGGTATTGGTTGATGGCTATGTCGGCTCTGCTTTAAATATTCCCCCTTGCATTTCTAACGGCATAGTGCCCAAAACACGTCAGCAAGACCCGCTGCCGTATGCTACAATACATGGCTCCTAGCCGTTCCGAGCGCTCTTCGCTCCGTGAGCTGGCACCCTCACTTCAAACGAGGGTGGCTTCATCCCCAGGACCTGCGTGGACCTCAGCCAGGGATGCTTCACAATAAAGCCTAGAGCAGCCAAGCCGGACTGCCCCAGACTGCCGCGTGATTTTTGGTACTAACCTTCAGGCGCTTGACGCAAAGAGACTGCATGTCCAAGGCTTCCAATGGGGAAACCCTCGAACGCGTTCTTTTTTGTTTTTTGCTTTTGGATTTCCATCTCAAAGGGGAAATCAGTTCTTGGACGTTGCTTATCGTGCATGGGTGCCCGGGCTGGCTAGCGTCGTGAGCCCACGTCGTCTCGTGGCGCGAGGGCTCTCGGCCTCGTTCAAGGGACCCTAGGAATACTCAAGCATAATATGCCACTTTTACATAATATGTACGATATAATATGTGTACATATTTACAATATGTACGTATTTACATAATATGTACAGCTTGGGCTGCATCCGCCTACCCAAGGCCTCAAGCCTACATGGCACATGGGAAACTAGTACAACGCTTGCGCTAATGCACTCACAGGCTTGTAACCTCAGGTGCAAGCGTAAACAGTTGCTCCTTTAACATGGTAGCGGAGATCTGGCGACCTTTTCATGCAACACGCAAAGGATGGCGGCCCCACAGCAACAGCAGCAGCTGGAAGGAACACAAAAGTACAAGATAGCACCACCACGATTCACAGGAGAATACATTACTTTTGACGCTTGAAGAATGGAAGTACAAGATGGCAGCATATCTTGAACTACAAGATGAACCTTGCAGACTGCTGAGGCAGCCAAAGCAATCGCAACTGTCTGTTTTTCCTTTGACCAACTTAAGACAGCCGCACCTTAGCAGAGCAGTGGATACAACTGAGCAACAACCTACACGACATCTTTGTATTCACATGCGAGGGACCAGCATCTACAATGCGCGAAAAGACCATGCAACGCAACGGCTTTGAAACATGGCGGCTACTACACATGAGATACTCCCTGCCACTTGGTACAAGAAGCATTGGGTACCTAACAAGGGTACTCCAACCACAGCTCGATGAACAGAAGTTCGAAAAGAGCCTTACAACATGGGAGCTTCAACTCGCCGATTTTGGACGGAAACGGCACATTTGAGCTGAATCTAGCTTCGGAAAGCTATTTTGCTAGCTAAAGGCGCAAAAATGTTGGCGAGACGGCCAACACTACCAGATGCAGTGAAAATCGCAGCACTGCTCAACGGGACAAAGGGACCACTACAGCAACATCTACAGCTGCAAACAGGAAACATCACAACATATGCACGAATCAGAGCTCTGGCGATAGAGTAGTACAGAGCAGCATCATCAATCAACAGACTACAAGCACTCATACCAAGCAGCAACAGCAACAACCAAGGACCAGCACCGATGGACATAGGAGCAACATGGCACAACAAAGGCAAAGGAGAGAAAGGCAAACACAAGAGCAAAGGAAAAATGCAACAAGGGCAAAGGCGATGGCGGCCACAAGAACAACTACCGCTACAACAACTACAAGCAGCACAATCAACCGGCTGGACAAGGACACGCATTCAAAGGATAACAAGAATGTGGCACAGCACTGGGAGACAAATGAAGCCACAAACTGGGAGACAAGTACATGTGCACACTGGCGAGCATGCGGCCCGGCGATCTGGCAGTACTGGGAGACAAGTACATGCGCAAACTGGCGTGCACGGGGCCTGGCGTTCTGGCAGCCCTGAGAAACAAATGAAGGCACACACTGGGAGACAAGTAAATGCACACTCTGGCGAGCATGCGGCGCGGCGATCTGGCAGCATGCGGCCCGTTCTTTGTGCTACTCTTGTGCTGAAAAGTTGTGCTTTTTGAGCTGGGGCTGCCAAAGTTGTGCTTAACTTCTGCTTGGCTGGACTTTGCGTGCACATGGTGACTGTTTTATCTCGAAACGGCCATTCTTCGCGGACAAAAAGAGTTACTTTCGATGGTCACCGACTGCTAAACTCCTTACAAGGACATTTAGAACGACTCCCATATGCCTTGAGTCTCGGCGCAATACATTTGGCCCCCGGACCCGCGCACAGGGCACGGAACGGTGCCGCTCCGCACGGTTGGAAAGACCGAGCCTGTACTGACGAAACATCTTCAGACCATCGGATTCCGAGAGAATCGGAGACTGAACACAAGCCAAAGTAGCCAAAGTAGCCAAAAGTGCAGTTTTCCTGTGAAACGATTTAGGCCGGAGATGTCCGCCTTGGAAGTCCACCGCTACGCGGCGCATCCATCTGGCTGAGCAGCTCCACCACAGAGGGCCGCCGCCTGTCGCATTGGGCGCATCGAAATTCCGTCAATGGATCCACCTGGCTGTGCCAAGAACATGGAGGCTGAAAAGAGAGCGTGAAACAATGTGCTTTGCATTTCCAACTGCTTTTCATGCCTGGTGCCAGAGCCACGAGGAGCTGATGGAGGACGATCCGACCTGTGCACTCACTACGCCAGTTGGGCCTTGCTGTTCGCAACTTTGCCCCTCGGCCGGCTTGGGCCCTCATCCACGAATTCATCCATTGCGCTCAGGGAAGCCATTCAGGAGTCTTCCGGAACCACAGATTCGACAGCCCCACTTGCTCCCACCTCCTCAAAAACACAAGCACTTACGCCGTGCGCATGTCACATCAAACAACAGGCCCTGCTCAGACCAGCCATCAACGATGCATCAAGGAGGAACCTGCGTCAACCTCAAGAATGCTTTTGGGACTTCAGAAAGAGACCAACATGACACCATTTGAGGGGGACCGGCTTTGACACACAAAATGGGATCGCGCAAGGTCGGACGAGGTCTCTGAGGCACAAAACGCCGACAGGCTTGCACTCTTCGAGGAGTGTGGCCGAGGTCGCTCCTGGCAAGGTCGCTCCATGTCGCTCCGAGTCGCTCTCGAAAAATGCATCCGCCTGGCGCTCGGCCGGTGTCTCCTCACCTAGGGAATCGAGTGATTCAATTCACAACGCGCGCGTATATCGTAAATCGTATAATCCCGTGTGCGAACGGCCACTTAAATCCCAAGTCAATTCATCTTGCCTTACGAGGCCGTAGGGCCCGCACCAGCAGTCTCCGATAGCGCCTGACGGGAGCTCGAGCACCGAATCTAAACCACGCCAGGCAGCAAAGGCATGGAAAGGGGCAAAGTGGGACCCCTGTCTCTTGACTTTTTGAGTCTGTACATGCGGCATCGGGCCATTGGGCCCGTCACGGACGTGTGGCTGTGCAAACGAAGCAGCGCCGGAGCGGTGCCGCAACCGTGGGCGGGTCCGGCCGCAGCCGCAGTTGCGAGTAGACCTCAACAGAGCACCTCGGGGCATAGGGCCTTTCAGCCGGCAACGTCGGCTCCGTCGGCTCCGTTGGCTCCGCTGGCTCCGTCTCGGGCGATGGCTCCGCGTGGGCAGAGGCGACTGCGTGTGCCAGGGCAGTCACATCCTCAATCAGCAAGGCATTCTCCACATAGAAGCGCGAGAGGGCACCCTTCATGCCAATCTGAATGGCCCTCTGCTCCTGAGCGTTCGCGAAGCTTCGAGATGTTTCGAAAGGAACCAGGGGTGATTCCAAAAACGTGTCTGAGTCTAAGTTCTAAGTGTCTGTATGCCGAGCTGGTTCTCCACCCTCACCGCGGTCCAAGCATCGAGCCGGGTCCCACTGCACTCGACCTTCCGCTCCGCCGCCTCCAGCTCACGCAAGTCTCGCGCGAGTCTCGCGCGAGTCTCGCAGGTGTCAGGTTTTGCAGTGTCCCTAGTCCTAGCGAGTTCTTAGTCTTAAAGGTCTTAAGAGTCTTAGGTGCACGCCGGCCTCCGTGACCGCAACTGCAACGGCTCAGAATTTCGGCCACCGCTTCATGGGGCAGCTTGACCTTTAGAATGCGCTCCTGGTTGTCATCCTTAAAGCCATAGCCAGCACGGTACAGCACCCAGGCAAAGGATGGCTTGATCCTCAGATGTCCCAAGTATGAGGCGAAGTCTTGTGGAGCCATGGGCCAAACACCTGCCACATGTACTCAAACATGTTTAAAGAAATGCTGATCACCGTCTGACTGGACCCGAAGCAAGAGCCGGCGCCGAGGGTCCACGTCATTCGGTCAGGTTTGAAGTTGGGACCACCAAACCGCTGGTGTTGCACCGCCCAGCTGGCGATTTGCGCATTGAACGCCTGGCTCGGTGGTGCTTAAATTCTGACTTGAAGGTGTCTCTCAGCCGAAGGGTGAATGCAAAAAGCCCGTCTGTCGCGGAGGTCGCGCCTGGTAGAAAAACACTCCCTCGTCATCCCACTCTGCAACCAGGACATGGCCGTCAGGTCCCTCATCCATGGCTCTCCGGTCCCCAGTTCTGAGCCCCACTTGTGGAAGGTGTGGCCAAGGGCGCAAGTGTCCAATGCAACACTGCCTGAGCGTCTAAGCGTCTTCTTGGACCCGGAGCAGCCTGAAATTTCCAGGTCAGTCAGTCCGGAGCAATTTTGGCGCGCGGCGCCTTCCCGGCTGGCGGCCGGGGCCTGCGGCCTGGACCGAACCAAACGAGACGCGCACTGAACGTCTCTGAACCCCCCCCCCCCGGCGCCCCCCCCCCCCGGCGCCCCGGCGCCCCGGCGCCCCGGCGCCCCCACCTGTTCCACTCGCGCGACCTGAAAGCGCACTCTCTCCCGTCGGTCCCGTCGGTCCCGTCGGTTCTGGTCTCTCGCCTTCGGCGCCCTGAGCCTCAGCTCGGAGTCTGAAGTGCACACGTGTGTCTTGCTTTGCGGCGCGCTTTCCAAAGCGTCATTCCACAAACGCAATCGCCTTTGCGTCTCCAAAATATGGAAAGAAAAGAAGAGCCTTGTTGGCTGTTGCACCTGATGTAATTTGTTCGGTGTGGCAGCGAATGCCAAAATTCAAAAATGTTTGTGGACTGGGGGTGAGTCGACAAGTCTGTGAATGTACCGAGGAAAAGCAGTCACTTTTCCCACGAACAAAATACATTACAAGTATTGGGCATGAGAAAACCAGAGAGAGAGAGACAAAGTTCCCCCCCACCCAGACCTTCTTGTGAAAACATAAGCCATTCCCGTGTCCCTCTCAAATTGATCCCTGGAAATTTGGACCAAACTTCACGTCGCTCAAAAATATCCAAGGTTTGGCTGCCCGCATTCTCCCTCGCCGAGCTTTCCGGAGGCCTGCGCACTGCGCGCGCATGTTTTTTCTTTGGCGGCTGGCTTTGCGAACCTTTGCGAACCTTTGCGAACCTTTGCGAAGTGCGACTCAACCTTTGCGTGACACTTTGGCAGCTCTTTTGTGTGACACGCCCTTCGGTCTGGAGATTCAATGGAAAAGCAGGCCATGGCAAACATGCAAAGGAGGTCACCGACTTGTCAAATGGATTCCCACGTCATTTCGCGGAGCTTTCGCTGAGTTTCGAGGAAATTCCCCCGCATGTTCGAAGCCAGCAAACAGCCTCTGCACAATAAACATGCAGGAGCAAACACATCACGTCAAAGGAAGGCTTGGCAATCAGCAGTGACCTACGCATACTCTCGCACGGTCAACACCACTGGTAGCCCTTTCGCGGAGGCTTCGTACACACTTTTTGCGAGCGGATTCAGCGCGTTCTATGGCCGGGTTTGGCCAGGCCTTTTCGGGATGCTCTGAGGCTTGCACTCTTCGCTGGAAGCCACGCCAGGCAGCCTGCAGAAGACAGGCCGCCACCTCGCGACACAGGCGTTCGCTGGCAAGCCTTGCCCGGGCCGCGCCTCCTGGGAAGAACGAACCATGGCCTGGCAAGGCGGCAAGGCGGCAAGGCCATGCGCGCAACGCAGTTTTGAACTTTTCTTTTGACACATCTTCAGCCCACCGTCTGACGGAGTGATCTCCAATTCGCCTTTGCGGCCACACAGGCAGACGAAGGCAGGCATGTGCAGGCTGAGTGTGCGACGGGCGTCCCAGCTGCACAGGCACGGGATAGCTCCAAACGCGCCAAACGTCCCCGGTACACGGCCTGGAAATGTCGTGTAAAAGCCAAATTTTGGTGCAAAGCCGAATTGCCCGTTGACTTGGGCCTGGAGCAACGAAGCAGCCGTTCCTTGCGGCACGTGGAACTTAGCTCAATACACTCTCAGGTTCATGCCAGCCTGGAGGGCAGTGTGGCTTCGAGTATTCCTCCTGGATCTACAGGTCCAAATTTGCTTTCAAAGACATCTTTGCTACCACTCCACCAGTCTTCGTCGTCTTCGTCCTCTTTTTCTACTTCTGCTTGTATGCCTGGCACGACACCTACAAAGCTTGAAGCACTTCTGCCCGGGCAACAGCGGGCCAGAGCCTTGAGCATCCTCCGGTCCAACCACATCCTCGGTGGGCATCTGGCCAGGCATTGAAAGCATAGCGAGAATAAAGGCTGGCGCAGGCCGGACCAAATCCCCATAGAAACCTTTTGACCGGTTTCTGCGGAGGAGTTGCCGGTCTTTATGGTTTGCAAAGGGGAATGGGATTTGGCCAGGTTTGACTGGTTTCTAGGCAGGAATTTGACCGGTTCTAGGGGAATATGACTGGAGATGGTCCGGTTTTTGGAGGGGATTTTATTGGCTTCTAGCGGGTATCTTGACCGGTTTCTCGGGGGGATTTGATCGGCTTGTAGGAGGATTTAACCGAAGTTGGGCCGGTTTTAGAGCAGATTTGACTGGCTTCTAGAGGGGAACTAACCGATGGCCCTGCATCTTGGAAACCACTCGCGCGGACTCGCTCACTCAGACAACATGCAGGCAACGCGATTACAATGCATCCAACACACCGCCATCGAGATACGTTCTGTTAGTCGCGGACATGGTTTTCATATGGTGGCTGTCTATGCTGGTTGTCTAAATTCTTCCCTAAAGAATCCATAACCCCCAAATGGCCCAGTTGACGGCAAGACTTGATCTGTTGGCTGAGTGCCTCCATTTCAGAGTTGTGCTCGTCATCGTCGTCGTCTGGCAGACCCTTCTCACACTCTGTCGGAGCCAAAGAGCTCATGCATTCCTCAGATTGACTTGATTAGGATCTGAATCACGAAGGTCTAGCGAGCTGTACGGAACTAGTGGGACGTACTCTAAACGGACATGCAAAGAGCTGCCAAAGTCAGAGGCTCTGTTTCTGCGGTGTCATCACTCTCCGAGGCTTGCAAGAGCATCTCGCACTTGGGCGCGTCGTTGGCTTTTCCGCTTGCCCAAAATTCCTGGCAAGTCTCCAGCCAGGTGTGAGGTGTTAGTGCCAAGTGGAGGCATCCTCATTCTCACCAAGCTTGACTTCCCGCATCTCCACTTCATCAACCTGCGCTTTGCGCTTGCGCTTTGTATCCTGCATTGCCCTTGCGAGCACTGAGTGGTCAGCCAGCCCGTTCAGGCAAGCGTCCTCTTTCACCTTGGTTCTTTTTCTGCAAGAGAAGCAGAAAACACTCCTCTGCAGGCCTCCAACGCATCAAACACATCAACTGTCGAGTTCGAAGCCTAGAGCAAAAGCAGAAGCAGACGCATCTCAAAGTGAGAGCCGAGTCCTCTTCACTGGGCTCTCGCCTCTCTTCCTGTCAAGCGACAGCGCTGCGGCACCGCGGTGCAGAAAACGAGCCCCGTGCCTCGCACTCAAAGACCACCCACAGCTCTCTGGGAGCAAAGCCCTGAACCTGACAGTCTCTGCATGCACCCGGGACACAACAACTCTGCGACTGGGAAGCCTACCTTTGCCGAGACAAGTCACTCATTGCAGTCTTGGAGGCGTGGGCTTAGTTGTAACCCGCGAAGTGTACTTCTGCAGCTCCATCTCTTAAAATCACAACTTGTTCCCATTTGTAGCACAAGTGTAGAACTCGAAGTGCACCATTTGGCAGTTCTGTTTTGACAATCCCGGCCTAGCCACTCTCCTTAACATCAACTGCAAAACGTGAAACATTTATCCCAGGCTTAGCTGCCCGAGCTAAGCCAGACAAGGCATGCGCATGAATTGCTTCGCGTCCAGCGAATTTACGCAATGCAGATCGATTCGAAAACTTACCGATTCGCTACTTACGGCTTGGGACTTCTCAAGCCCCGCCTCCAGCTCGGGCTCAGGGTCGTCAAGGTCCTGCGCAAGGCCGACCATCGCGAAGAGCTGCTCCTCCTCGCTGTCCGAACCTCGCTATCGGATGCGCGCGATGTGACTTCTTTTTCTCGGGGCGCACCGTCCCAGGTCTGGCGGCTCACGAGATCTGCCCAGCCTAGAGCCTAGCGGCTGAGCGCGCGCATTCAATGCGACCCTTGGCACTAGGCCTCGGCGTCACTTTCGCTGCTCCATCCCGTCGCGTCCTGGGAAGTCTCTTCGGAAACAGGGCTCGAGAACAAAATCCGCGCCTCCTTGCCCCGTCGTCCCTGGCGGGTTCCCGGACGGGTGCGAGGCGAGCACGGATCAATGTCTTCCACCTCCTAATTCAGAATACGCATGTCAAGCGCAGTGCGACACCTGGCATCTAGGGTGCCAGCTTGATGGAACCATTGAACACCTCAGGCGCACTCTCTCACACTCGCCAAAAGGGGTGCTTGTGAAGCTTTTAAGCAAAGGTGCCCCAGCGTCCAGCTCTATCCTGTCTCACTTTTGTCGCTGTCTCTCTGCCGCCTTCCAGTGCAATTGCGATCTCCTGGGATCGTTCCCACGCTTGGTGTGCAGAGAGGCCCTCTTCCTGCAAGAGAAAGGCGTTGAACAAAAACATTGTGCACAAACAGGCTGTCCTGGGCCGGCCACCAATCGTCCGGCTCAGGCCGTCTGGGGTCGCTAACTTCACCAGTGGCAAGGTCTGGAGAATCGCGTGAGTCTCGACAGTCGATGTCGAGATTGGCTTCGCTGACTGACAGCTCCGGATTTGCTGTGCAACTGGACCTGGGGCTTGGCAGTGGGGACCGCGGGGACCGCGGGGACCGCGGGGACCGCGGGGACCGCGGGGACCGCGGGGACGAGAGTCGGAGGTCGGGGTCTCGCGGTGCCTTCAGGTCCCTCGGGTCCATCGGTGCCCGGACCTCGCGAAGGGCTCGCTCAGCCTCGCGGGGCTCGCGGGGCTCGCGGGGCTCGCGCTCGGGGTCCTCTTCGTCTCGCAAGCGGACGCGGTCCCTTAGGGAAGGCCCATCCGCCGACCACGGCCGTGCGAGCGAAAGGTCACACCGCTCCATGGCGCGGCCACGGACCGCCTGGGCCCCTAGAATTTGGGCACAGGGCAGGCGCCTTGGCAGGCGCTTTTTGAGCCAATTTTAGGGGTAAGCTCAAATTGGCACCTGTCAACAAGTCACCTTCCGGTCGCGCCGTGCACACATCAAGAACATCCCTGAATGTTGCAATGAGCTGCAAGGCCAGTCATTAAGAAGCGCTCGCTTTAGATTCCATCTGGCAGTCCAGCGCTTGACGCTTTGCCAACACAGGTCGCAGTGGCCTGAGTTACTTACGCACAGCGTCGCGGCCATGCCAGCCAAAGCAGCCAAAGCAGATCTCAGCCCTCAAATCTCAGCTGATCTCTAAACATCGCTAAACATCGCTCTGGCAAGCCCTCTCGGAAGAATCCTGAGGCTCGGGCCGAGGGCTCACGCGCATGCACCTCACGTGCCTCACAGGCCTCACAGGCCTCACCGGCTTCGCCTTCAAGCTCCACATGGACGTAGGCCTCGTGACGGTTGGGACCTTTCAGAGGGACACCAAAAGAAAAAAACAGTTTAGGTCCAGAACAATTGAATCAAGATCTTCCTTTCAGCCTGAAACGAGCCGAGGTGCCAGTGGATTACTTTGCCGTAGTAATGTTTTGAGCAGCCTCGAAAGCATGCAAGCAAAGACTCACCAAGTTCCAATCTCATGCTGCAAGGGAAACACACACTGGATGGCCACCAGGGGCATGCCATGTTGCTTGCAAAACGAGCATCTGTAGCACTTGCATGCGCTGCTTGAACAGCGGAGCCAAGTGCAAAGGGAACATACTTGCACGTGGCCCTGTGGCGTGCGCGATGTGCGCATTTGATTTCTGCAAATTTACCCGGCTGCAAGGAAAAGCAATAGCAGCCGGGCAAAACAATGCGACGGTGTGAGGGCAAGCGGAACGGATCATCACGGCAATGCCCTTCGGGCAAGGCTCGAGCTTCAGTGCACTCTGGCGGCCTACACGCCGCCTTGTGAGTCAGACCCATGAGCGCTTGGAATCAAAATTCACGATCCCAATTGCTTCCATCTTCCGCGTACTCCTCGAAAATCTCCTCCTCCCCCGGACTCAAGCATGATCCACCACGGTGCCATGGCGATTTCACCTCCTCGGCTGAACAACGAACGAGAAAACTAGAGAAGAAGCTTACAAGCGCCGGGTGCGCAAAGCATCTGCAGCACCCTCCCCCCCCCCCGGCCTCCCAGTTGAGGTCTTCTTTTTTACTGGCCCCAGCTTTTACGAGCACCGCTCAGCACAAGACCTCCCTCATGTGGCTCTAAAGAGGTTGGCTGGCGGTACTCTCTGGGGGCTGGCCAGGCTGGGTTGGTGGGGCACATCCCCAGCATCACCGGCCTTGCTCGGACTAGGGCTGCCTATGGGCTTGGGTTTGGTCGCAGTTCGGAGTTGCTCGGAGCTGGCTTCGGGTGAGTGTCGGGCTTGCTGAGGTCTTGATGAGCGCGGGTCTTGGGTTTGCTTGGGCTTCATTTCGGCTCGGAAAACGGCTGATATCCCGGATGCTGTTGGCTTGGAGTCGGTTTGGGTTGGTTTGGAGCTGATTTGCACTAGGTGTGCGGCTGGTCCCTGCGCGAGTTTTGGGCTGGTTTGGGGTTGGTTGTGGGGCGTTAACCGCCAAAACTAGCCCAAATTTCGCGCAACCACATCCCTAAAGCAACTCTAAAGCCGCTGCTAAGCCAGCTGCACACCTAGCGCAAATCAGCTCCAAGCCAACCCCAAACCGACCCAACAGCATCCTGCATATGAGCCCTTTTCCGAGCCTAAATCATCCCCAAACACCCAAGACTCGCGCTCATCAAGACCTCAGCAAGCCCGACACTCACCCAACACCAGCTCCGAGCAACTCCGAACTGCGACCAAACCCAAGCCCATAGGCAGCCCTAGTCCGAGCAAGGCTGGTGATGCTGGGGATGTGCCCCACCAACCCGACCAAGCAACCTGCGTCCAGTTCGGGGCTAAGCCCCAGCCGGGGCTATTGAGAAAACACCGGTTCCCGGCCCCCCCATCAAAAAATAAACAAAGGGGGGCCTGAGGGTTGCCTGTGTGGTTTTAATGTTCATTTCAAATCTTGACCACCTTATCCGCTCTGAAAAGACGCTTGTTAGAGGTGGCCAATTGCGATTCGCTTCTTCGGCTTCATTGTTGGACTGGGGAGTGACACTTTCTTCATATGAAAGAGGTAGCCCTTTAGTTGCTTCATGGTGTGGAGTGTTGGGCGGGTCGCTGTTTCATTGGTTGCGGTTGGTTGCACGTGTCATCCAATTCCTGTGCACAGCTGGATTTCTGATTGCGGTTTTGGGCGGAAAGGATAATGCCCAGGGAATCAAAAGGAAAAGGGTTCACGTAATCCACGAAGAACCCAAAGAACCCGGACTCACGACTCCGTGAACTGAAGCCGGTGACCAGGTTGAAGGACGTGACAGTTGAAGAGGGTTGAGGGAAAGTTGGAAAGAAAGTTAAAGAAGAAGAAGACCTTTACCAAGCCCAGGTAGATCCGCACGATATCCCAGGTACCCCCTACACCCAGCAGCCCGCCGCCCCAGCAAACGTGTCCAGTGCAGCCGACACAACAGCCGCAATAGGGATAGGAGGAGTGGCCTCACCCGAGCCTGCTGCCACATGTGGCAGCACCGGGGTTTTCGGTGGAGCAGGAGGCGCCGGGGGGCGGCCCTAACTGTGTCCTCCGCACCCTCATCCTCGGGCTCATCGAGGTCTTCAGGCTCTTCGTCATCCACAGAAGGATCATCCGACTAGGGCTCATCCTCGCCGGCGTAGTCAGGCATCTGCTTGTCCTTCACACTAGGGCCAGGAGTCAACTGCACCGCCTGTCTGAAGATGCCTCTGTCGAATCCGGTACCTCTTGGATCTGCAAGCTCTGCTTCACGTCGTCCTGCGATCTGCCAAGCATGCGCCATAGGCGACAGCGGATGTTCTGTAGATCAGCTCATCAAGGCTACCAAGGTCATTTAACCAATAGGCGTAGCCCCTCTTTCACGGAGTCGCTGTTTTTCGCATGGCCCACCACCCCAACAGCGAGGCGTGCCACCTGTGCCTTGAAGACATCCCCTCAGTCATGTAGTGCGACGTGTAGAAGCCGTTTCCGTTAGGGTTGAAGTTTGCGGTGGTGAGGCGTCTACCCCTCTCTGCCACATATGCTTCATACTCCTCGAAGAAGTCGGAGACAGTGCGCCCATTGAAGTGGAGCCCACGAACCAGGACCGCCTTCTTGATGGAGCGGTCAACCGTGTCCTGGTATTTGGAGTAAAGCATCGTTTTGGAGGGCTTGATACAGCCGGCCAAACACCTCCAACATCATCTTGTTGCTGAGCAGCATGGACCGAAGGCGCCGAAGTGCGGTGGGTGTTGTGACCATGGGATTGGACACTTCTCTTTGATGTGCATGCATTAAGAGCAAATGCCAACAGTCTAGCCACAGTATGTATTATTATTTAGTAAGATTAGCCTGTGCTGCGCACGTGTGAGAACAGCTGGCCCCTGTTCAGCGCTTACTATTCTTGCAACTACTTTTGTTAGCCGCAGGGGACTGCGAGTAGAGGGTCAGCCCGATAGACACGGCGTCTTCGTCGGCCCACAGAAGGGGTTCAGCCTTCTTGCGCCTCTTCACCCACGCGGGAATCACGATCGGCAGGACCGATTCGTAGAAGATTGGAAGGGAGCAAGCGGCGCAGGTTCTCCGTCATGAACCTGTGGCGTGGAAGGGAGAGAACCCCCTGACGTGCTCCGCCTTCTTGGCGCGCTCATCCTTCCTCACCTCTTGAAAGCACTTCCGCGGATCATCGGGAATCGCGCGGAGGAAGTTGGGGCGGTAGGTCCACGGTCGAAGGTAGACGACGGGTTAGTCCTCTTTGATGTACGCGCAGCGCCAGACCCGGTCGCCATGTTCTCGCGTGACGCAAAGGTACCCTGGCACGTGACGCGCGTCCCGCCGTTCTCCGTGGCGAAATGACAGGCGTCGATCACCATGACAACATATCGGGGATTGCCTCTCTTGGGTCGAGTGTGAATCTCGGTCACGTTACGATCCGTGATGCGATCGAGGCACTCACCATGGTCCCAAATGCGAACGTCTTCATCTGTCCGGGAGGGTAGAAGTTCAATCATTGCCTGACGATGGCCCCTCGCTCTACGAAAATGCGATAATCGCGAAGAACGACCGCTTTGTACAGGGTCTTAGGCACAATCTTGGACGCGATAGGCAAACAGACCGGACTGTTGGAGCATGTGCTGGCACCTTCTCGCGGAAGGCCTGATAGAGTTAGGTAGGGCCATGCGCAACTGTTTTTCGAACTCAAAAGTCTAGGGTCCACCCTAGGTTTGTTGCATTTTTTGAATAGCGCCCCAAAACAGCCATTTTAAAACATATATTGAAACAGTCTAAACACATTTTGATAATATGTTTTTATTACAGCATACCAAAACAAAAAATGAAATATTTTTGAAAAATTCAATACACCTAAACGTTTTTATTTTCAAAAACACATACTTCCCAGAGATAAATATATATAGCATTTTAAGAAGAGTTATTCAATAAGAAACAACATTTTCAACAATTCAATGAGAAGACTTAATAATTAATCATTTTTCAACATTTGGATATTCCGAAGTTGCGCGTGGTGCTCCTTGTATGATTTTATCTTCAATATATAAACGCTATACTTACATTATAATTATAACATATAAAGGTATCAATGTTATAATCATAGTATGGTTTTAATCATTATGGGTTAAAATAATAGTCAGGCAATATGTCTTCAAATATGTAATCTACATATTTACCTATATCATCCACATCTATGTATTTAATATGTTCCTTTCCAATTATAGCATAAATGTATTCCCAAAAGAATAAATACAACAATAGACATACTTTATATTTAGTGTTGTAGTAATACCATATACTATATTTAGTTGCTCCAAATTCTTTCAAGACCTCGTTTATTTTATCTTTACTTAATAAATGCCAGTCAATCAATGCAAACATATCACATTTTTTTAACAAATGATTTATAAGGTTTAATTCTTAGTTCTCCTCCAAACCTCTTAATTAAATCTTCATTGCTCAAGAATTTATCAGTTTCTTTTTGAACTGACTTTCTGAATATCTTATGGTAAAAGTGTATAGGAAATCTTGTTTGGTATTGCATAAAGAATTTTAATTGTAATTGAAACTTTGTATACCCCTTGTCCTTGTGTTCTTCAACAAAAAAATTCAAGGTCTCTTGTTATACAGCATTGATTACAACATACATCATACTCACTCATTTTATTACATAGATTGGCGGGTAATAACTTATACAATTTTATACTAAAATCATTCCTTTTAGGTTTACAACATGCGCACTTTGAATAGTTAAATAACATTTCCACTATAATATATATAGTTTGTATTTCTTTAAATACATTTTTACAAGAAAAATTAAATATTGAAATATATATTTATGACATATAAGATTTTACATGTTATTATTATAGTATGATTATAATTTCAGTTCAGGATAATCATCTAATTGATACATCTTACTTCTTCCATACATCATTTTAACATAATAGCAATATCTCTCACTGCGTTCTTAACATGAAACTTTTCACTTTCAATACATGATTTAATGTCTTCTTTTACATCAAACCCTTCCCTTCTGCGATTTACTAACATCTTTAATAGATAATCAATCATTTCATACTTTTTCTTACTGAATTTAAGAAACTGTTTAACATAATCATGAGGTGGGATATCGTAAACAACAAGAAATATTAAGATGTCATCTTCAACATTTCTATTATTTCCCCTTTTTCATGTTCAAATGACATTTGATGAATTCTTGATAATATCTCCAATTTCTACCAATTCCACATACATCTTCTTCATCCAAAGAAGAATCAACAATATTATTAACTATTCCATTAGGTAAACTCAATTTGTATAATTCCATATTTCCTTTTTTGAAGTGGCAACAGTCGTAGCATTTCTTATTGATATAATTATTGATTTCGGTTTCCACCATTTCTATTATAATATATATAGTTTTTATTTCTGTAAATACTGTTTTACAAGAAATATTCAATTATTATTTA